GTGTGGGGTGTTTATTCCTATGGTGTCATGTTGTTTTGTCCTTTACTGCTGCTGGAACACTGGAATTTCCCCACTGTGGGATCAATAAAGTTCTACCTACCTACCTAGCTGTACTCCAAGTAGATCTGTCATCCAAATTATACTGTATGCATAATGACATTATTCACATATAATGTTTTGTGCAGGGGCAGTAATTAGATGGTTCATGTGAACTGGATCAGCATGACTCAGAAGATGATAGGTATCACTCTGTGGCATGAGCTGTCCCAGTGTGGACATAGCAAATTAGCTGCAATATCCCCATGAAAGCACTTATCTGTGTGACTCGTATAACCAAGCAGAGGTCAAATATCTCGCCCACAGGCACCTTCTGTCCTGCCTTCACAACCCATCTCTATCTTATCAAATTAAGATAATGAAGGACATACTATTGCATTTAAACTATCTGTCATATCGGCAGACAGAGCAGCAAGCTAGTGCCCTATGCTGTGTCAGGTCTCTGCAGGTCCTACGTTTGATCCACTGCTGCTGTGCCTTTGAGCAGGAAACATGATTTTGTATACCATGAATTATGATGTCAGTAAAGGACTGATGGTGACATTTTCTCCATGTGGACCCAGTTACCTTACAGGCTTCTTAAGGAGATCGCTTGGCAACAGCAGAATGAGGTGTGCTTAATTTTATTTATCAATTAGTGTGAGGAGAGAATGGGTTTATCATTACTTCACTGGTTCCATTCCCACTGATTATTCCTTTTTAAACAAGCAGATTAGACCAGATTAATGAAATCTTAGCAAAGCAAAGGCGAGAGGCTGATGAGGTCCACAGTCATATGGCTCACTATTTTACAGTCCTTGGCTAAATCTGCTGAAACAAGCAATTAACTACAAGGATTGTATTGATGCAAAATGTGTCCTTGGTGCACTGCAATCTCATTCTCCCAAGCCATGGTCCATGTGCACTGACAGAATTTTGATTGGTGGAATTTCATTTAAAAAAAGCAAAATTTTAACAGTGTTAAACAAGTATCAGCACACTACCAAGATTGTTTAAAAGATACAGTTTGAGCCTCTGAAGCATAGTTATCTACTGCTAGCAACATTAGCCCTGTAGCTAAGATGGCACTGTGTTGTACATTGCCCCCAGGAGTTTGTACTTGTGTTTCAGTGCTGACTATCACCGAAAATGTCATGCAAGACCCTCATTTTTGTGTGATAATATAAATATGTCTTTATGCTTTAGACGGTTAAAAAACTAAGTCACTTCATAAAATAATGTGTCTTCCAGAGAACACTGACAAGGTTATTTTTCAACTGTGCATCTTCCCCATATACTAAAGAGCAGCCTCAGCTATTTATTTATCTTGTTTCTGTTTATTCTAGTTGCTAAGCTACTCCAAAATCTTTCTGTCTGAATTCACTTCATTGTTCACTCCTTTATGTACAACATATTAAGATATTCTAGTCAGTTTTAAAATTTTTACATCTATAAAATCCAGTGCATTGCCTTTTTGCTGTTGTTGTATAACCACTGTGGACATTTTGGGGGCACTATATACAGTAGTGGATATACAGTACATTGCATCCAATTAGCTTTTAACCAAACTATGCTGGAGAACAGTCAGGACTCAAAAACCCATTTGTGGCCTATTCCAGCCCCGGTTAATGAAACATGCCATTTCCAAAGGTAACTCCCTTCTTTGATATGTCTGGTTGAATCCAGGTCAAGGTGGATCAAAGTGAATCTGAACATTAACTCAAGGCAGCTGTTCACACCATTGGTTCAAAAGGGAGTGGGCTTTACATGATCCTCGTGTTGAGTGTTGAGAGTGACCTGTGCGCCCTCTTCCCCACAGATCTTTTACCTTGTGTAAGATTTGATTCTTATAGGCTCTAGTTACTTTATAAGCTTTAGTTACTTTTCATACCTTTAGTTTCCTTTAGTTACTTTTCAGTTCTTCATTTTCTTTTAGTTATCTTTCATACCTTTATTTTCCTTGCTTATACATACTAAAACTGTACTGAACACTGCTGTATTGTACTGAGTGAAACTTTGGAACTGCATGCTGCAAATTCTGCAGAGACAGGATGTCTGTACCTTCAAGTAACCAGACGGTCTATTTTACATTTTAACAAAGACCTGTTGGCCTGTTTTGCACCTTCACCTAGACCCACTTAGCATATTCCAAGTTCTGCTTTATCATCGGGTGTCCTGCAGGGGGCTACAACCTGAGATGACCACCTGGCCAGTTTAGCATACTTATTAGCATCACACACACAGGGGGGCCTGCAGCCCAGACCACCCATTTTTCAGTGTTCATTGATCAAGATCAAGCTGCCACTTGAGACACACACACACACACACACACACACCTGGATTTTACCACATTCCAGCAAGGAGGTGTGAGCTCCTGCTTACACCAAATGGTCAACAGGATTATGAAGTGTTGAATGTTGTACCTCTGCGCAGGGCGGGCCTAGCCCAAGCAGTTAAATGCAATGAAAACATGTAACTCGGGGTTCAGAGAACGGATTTTCCTGCATGAGCTCTGTCTCTCTGAATCCAGCGCTGTAATACTTCACCTGTGCCCAGAGTTCAAGTAAACTTTCTGTTGATTTTAAACAGTCCTCTCCTGTCTTCACTTCTTGTGCTTCCAACAAAAGAACTGGGTTATTTCTAACACCTGTAACAATAACCACAGTCCACAGCCAAGCCAAAACAAAAAATCTCCACTCAGTTCCTTAGATCTCCTAAGTAGATGCCTCTGTGTGGCGTGTTATGGCCAGGGAGGCTCAGACCTCATACAGTCAAGCACTTTCCACATATGTCCTGAGTTACTGTAGGCACTGTACTTTGTCAAAGCTGTTTAGAGATTTACTCTGTTGTAGAGCTGGTTTGATAACAAATGTGTTATGTGAGAATCACATTTGAGAAGATGCAGTTCCTCTGTTTGTATGACCACGTGTCTGCCTGTTTGAATGTCACAGCTTTCCCCCAAATTTCTCTCTGCTGTTTCAGCTACTTGTCAACCAGTCGCTGTGGGATCACTGCCTAGAGAAACAAAAACTTTGCAGAGGAACAACTGAGTTGATTAGATAACCAGTGTTGGGATATGTTGTACTGAACTCACTCCTCTATCTGAAAAGTAATCTGTTCCTAGCATGTGAACAATGTGTTAAAACAAGTAACACAACCTGTTCTAAACTGAATTTTGACAAACAATGTTACCAAGCAGAAAATAAGGAGCACATGTTCATAATCACTGCCCAACAATTACTCAAATGTTGACAATAGTTCCTGCTGTTGATTCAACTTGAGTTGGTGGTGACGGATAGAGGAACGTAACACATAATCACTTTTGTGCTTACATTACACTGTGGTGCAGTTTGGGTTCACAGCAGCTCCTGTGGTTCTGCCAGATCGATTCAGAAAATTCAGTGGCCACTGGATTCTCTGGCATTCCTAAAATAATCTTAATTATACGTTTGAAGGATTCTGATGGGAAATGGACAATTTTGGTCTACAAGCCCCACAAATGTGTAGTTATTATAGGCCAGCCACGTTTAGCACATTCTTTCTGTATGATAAACATCTAACTTTTGAAATCAGTAGGATAGACTAGAAGCAGCATAAAATGATTTTCTGGCATTCTTTGAGTGTGAGCCACCAAGGTAAGTACAGTGTGTCCAGAAACAAATTCATAATCTTTCTTTTTTTTCAAAATCAGAAGGGTCAATCATCAGTTGAATCAGTTATTTAACTTCAGACAACTGTTGAGACAAGATAACCAGTGGTCACAAATTAGACCAATCACAGAGAAGAGAGTGTTTGCCAGGTGGCACTGCAACCCCCTGATGTTAATCTACCTGGCACATACCAAGCTTTAAAAGGTGGCCAGACTCACTACTGGCTCAGCTATTAAAATGTTCAGCTCCTCAAGGACATTCATGCTTCTATTCAGAAGTTTTCTAAACTTGATACTTCTGAAACATTTAGCTTTATTTTGAAAAGGTTGCCCCATTCAAATGAATGGGAAAATTCTATTTCAGCATACTTTCAGATATGCCTTTCAGGTGTCAAATGTTCAGCATTTTCAGGGCGATCCTTCAGCACACAGCATCCACATGCATTTATGACAGGAAATGCATTTCTCTAGTTTCAAATGTTATTTGTATTAGTGATTAAGCTGCCAATTGTTTTTTTTTTCAAGTAATAATCACTCTATAAAACATCATAAAACATAGTCATAGCTTAGTTGTTCCCAAGGTAAGATCCAATATTTAATTGTTCAACCAGAAGTCCAAAAGACAAGGGCAAATGCTTGCAATACAAGGAAAACCAGCAAAGTCTCAAGTTTGACAATCTGGAACTTTTGTTATTCTGCTTGAGAAATGACTTAAATGATAACTGCTCATCAAAATAATTAAATTTCCTGCCAATGTACTAATAGACATATTGTTGAAGCTCTGCATGTGTTAACAGTAAGTGAGCACGTTTGGGAGCTTAAAATAAAAATATTATCATACATATTTTTATATATGATTTTATTGTCAGTGTAATCCTGTACATGCAAACATACACTAAATGTACCTACTGTATAAAAACAGTCGATGTTTGGAGGTGACATTTTTATTTACAAGTAATCAATGGACAGACATCAGTCATTCTGATGTAAATTAATCACAGACTTTATGTCCTAGTAATTAGCCTACACTATCGAATTACATGCGAATTTAGTTTCAAAACAGAAGACAATGCATGTCTGTCCATGAGTTTGATGACTATGCTATGTTGAGTGTGAGCAGCATCAAGTTGCCACCCCGATGAATGAGCAGAGGGATGTTTCCTCAGTGTTGTGCTGTGCTGTAGAGGCTGTTCACTCAGCAGATCCCAGCTCAGTCCGTTCAAGGCAGCGGCAGGGATGATTGCTGGGGACTAGGCGGCAAACGCAAGGACTCATTTCTCAGGTAAAAGTGGCTCCGGGTCGAGCCATACACCGCGTTTATTTCGGGCATTTGTTGGGCTTTTGTTTTTGTTTTGTCACGACACATGCCAGTGGCTCAGACGGCGAAACGCTGCTGTCAGGAGTATACAGGGGTTGAGAATCGCATCTGCTCTGCGTTCAGTATTTCCAGCGTTCCCTCAAGTTGCAGCCTATTCCAGCTGCCTCGGCGTTCTTCTGCCGCGCTGTTGGGATTTGCGGATTTAGGACAACGCCGTGGCACTTTCGGGACGCGATATTAGAAGGTGAAGGAGTGGGAGGATGGCGGCCTTGATGTTTTCCACTTGAAACCTCCGCGGTAGACTGCCACTATTTGCGGATGCGCTCTTATCATCTGAAGGTTAAAGATTGCTGATGGAGCTAGCCAGGCTAGCGTTAGCCCCGTTGTCTCTGCTGGGGAAGAGAGGCCAAACTCCGTCCAAATTACGCAGTTTTAATGCCCTAGTTTACGAGCAAAGATTTTTAATAAGAGCATGATTTAAATTACTCCTGTCACGGCTTGTATTTGGTATCCATTCTGTGTTAGTCCAAACAGCTGTGCCATGTATGCGATTTTAACTTGGAAAATTACTTTGCCTCAGCCTTACGTTTCTTCAGTGGCATTCCACGCACAGTGTGCCCTAAGCAGTCGGACTTCTAATCTGAATAGCGGGTCATCCAAATGCCGAATTAAGACAAAGACCTCAACTGATCCGTGTACGGTCTTAAATCCTTTTATATCAGCTGTGCCTCTATTTCTCACTATAACGAAACTTTAAGCAGATAGATGCCTAGACGGAATTTGGCGTCTGGTTTCTGAACTGCGCGCATCGGGGCTAGGCTGGCAGCGGCTGCGATTTGCAACAGAACCAGCGGGCCATCATGCCAAACCTATCAATCATTTCATAAAGACATATAGGAATATAATGTGCAGCTGTCAGCTGCGGTCGGATGCCCGCCAAATGGCGCTGTAAATGTGCTGCAAACAGCCCGTGGCAAATGGTCTCACAAGTTTAGGCTGCTTTCATGTCTGCATGCTGCCTGTCAACCTGCAGCATGTCTGCACGATTATGGCTGTTGCTTGACCTCTCTTCTCCTTCCTCCAAGCAGCCCCCTGCAAGTACTGTGCACGGAGGTGCCCTACTGTCAGAGAAGTCACTTTGCGTAATAATGTTATATTCGTATATGTATGTATTGAACGTTGACATTAAAAGGTTTTACGGTATAGTTATACTTTATTTTAAATATGTAATTGCCTGCTCGTCTAGATGGATTAAACACATTAAACATATGCCTTTCACATTTAATCACAAGGTGTTTGCAGTTACTTTATGACTATAGTTTTAGGTTTTGCACATAAACTGTTACTCTTATGTAGGGACCTCTAGAGGCCAAGGTTGTCTATGGAAAGATTTCAGCTGATCTATTCAAGCTCAAGATAATGTTATTACTCATTCGTCATAATGTTGCTGTAGTTAACAGATGAGGTACCATTATCATTAGTGTAGTTATTTGTGCAGTAATCCAGTTTTATCACACCAGATTTGTTGAAATTACTCTTATTAGTGCTGGCCTGGCATGCTCTGGATATTTTAGGTAGTGTTGTTTATAATATCTATGGAATACTGTTAATGTTACAGAAGTGATTTGTTCCTTCCTGCCAAGAATCATACGTCAATGAACTTACATCAAACCCTATTAGCAATTGTCAGAAAAGAGACATTTTCTAGACAGAGTGTGCAGGATTTAAAAGCTGACAGGTTAAAACGCTGAAGTACTGCAAAATATAGCCCAGAGCAGCACAGGCTAATATGCAGTTTCACAGGCAAGAGTAAGAAAGTGTGTGTGTCTGTGGGAGTGTGTGTGGTGTGGCAGGTATTTCACACACCCTTGAGACTGAGATGGTGTGTGTAGACAAGGCCCTGCTAGATGTCCTGAGGGGGATGAAGTATGGTGGTACAGGGGGTGTATTAAAGGAGAAGTCTGGTGATTTTCTGTGTTTTTGTTTTTTTTCCACAAATCCCATACAGAGACAAAAATCAACATTGATTTTCATGTCTGTGAATCCAGAACCTGGTTTAACTTACTGGCCTGTGCTGTAGACCTCCATCATTGTTCAAAAGCTATTAAATCACACCACTGAGCCGCAATGCTGCACTGGTGGGCATGGGTCTTCCTTATGAAACTTAGAGCTCCAAAGGCCAAGAACAGCCATCGCTTTTTGCAGTCTCTGCAGTAAGAGACAACTGCACAAACACATGTGATCTCTGCTCTGTCTGTCGACGCTGTTATGTGCAGCATAAGAAGCAACAAGTTCTCCAGCCTATCCAACTCAGGTACATTTGTCGCATCCTTCTCATACAACCCATAGGAGCATCTCCTGAAATAGCACCACTATGTTGCTAGGCGGACTTGCAAGAACTTCTCCAACATTAACAAGACCTTGCTTTGTAACGACAAGCTTAATGTATTTTTTTGTCATGGAAACAGTCATGAACACATTGGCAAAAGTAATGCAAACTTCATCATCATGGAACCTGCCATAAACATGTTGTTATTGTATGATTATGAAACTGTGACGGGTTTCATTATGTTTTGTCACATTTTGCTTATTTTTAGGAACAAAAACTACTTGAAATACACACACTGGAGACCAGCCTCCCTCACGTGGGGACAGCCCTGTGTTTTGTGTACCTAGGCATCAACCCCAGCCTCCTTATAACAGTGACTTTTTGCCATATTACCAAACTTTGCTTGTGTTAAAATTACTACAGTCACTAGAGGTCACCAGACCATAACAACATAAATATTGGTCGTAATAACCTGCTGGCACAAAAGATCTATTGAATCATTTTTTACAGGAGGACAGACCGTAAAAAGTGATGGCCATTCTTAGGTTTTGGGTCTCTTTTTTGAAATAAAATGTGGAGGCGGTACAGTGGTGTGGCTCCCTGGTGTGTTTTAGTTTTTGGACAAATAATAGTCTAAAGCACAGACCAATAAGCTAAATCAGGTTCAAGATTCACAGACACAATGGTGGGTAAATGAAATTCACTGTTGTTTTCAGTCTCTGTACGGGTTCAGTGGAAAAAACAAAACATAGAAAATCACTGGCTTTATACTTTTAAAAGGGAAGCGGCTCATTAATTGCTTCAAGCAGTGGGGAAAAGGGTTGGCCAGTGAAACTGTAGGGCCCCTCCACCACTGTGAAATGGGTCATATGAGTTCAACTTTGAGGAGTGGTCCAAACAGCCTGCGACAAATCAAAAACTGACTGGTGTTCCAGGCAGTCTGGTTATCCTAGGGCTAGACTTTCCCTTTCAAGTACCAGTGTGTGTGCACCAGACGGTTTAGCATCTTTGATGGTAGAGAGCTGTGTCTGTCAGTCTGCAGCTTTATTTCTAGGCCAAGCACACCAAGAAAATGAGTTTTTTTGCCACTGGGTAGCTGTAGCCCAAGCCTTTGAAAGTCATCTGATGTTTGCCCAGTTACAGGGATCCCCTCAGAGGTCCGGCTTGATGTCACATGTCATGTCAGGGGAGAGGTGATGCAGGCAGGAGGATGGAGGCTGGTGGATGAAGCTAGCCAGAAACCTGTGAAAGCTATTGACACCTGCCAGGGTGCCTCCTGGAGCAAGAGTGGTGAGCCTGAGGCATGAAATGAAAGGGATTGCACGCTCGGTGTATATGTTGTGATGTCCTAACTGAGTGCCGGCGGATTTCCATATGTTTGGCAGATGGTTGAGCTTCCTGCTTTGAGATCTCTGTTTGTCTCTGTTTATGCCAGTGCGGTAATTAAAGCCCTTGAGACAACCCTGACCATTCATTATCATGTGTTTACATAGCATTTTCTGCATTGTTCAGGGCATCCATCTATTCATGGCAACACCTTAGTTACATTATGTGGGAGAGCCTATAATCTGAATCACAGTGATCTGTCAACATCATTCTGCTGCTGCCTCATTTAAATATCATTCTCTAAACATACATACACTTTCTTGATGGGGTTATGGTCTCTTAATTATTCTCTTGGTAAAATATGTTTATCTTGGTTTGGTTAAGCCATTATCTTTTCTTCTATAATACTGAGTGAGACACATGCATCTGTCCACATTTGATTAGCAGAAAGCCAGAGCATGCTAAACCTTTGATCTCTGTGCTCCAGGCTTATAAACCATGTCACTGCCATCTCTAGCAAGCCCCAGACCTTGACAGACACTAATTACCATGAAGCCAGTTTGGCAGACTCCAAACCAGCATGACCTGGGAATAGTTCAGTGCAGGTGAAGACTACACTGTGAAGCAGAACAGCACCTTGCTGTATTAGTACCTGATAACCTGTCCATAATGTTTTTTCTTCGCATATAAAATGATGATTTTCAAATGAGCTGTGGTTGAAACAAACACTCAGCTCTGTATGAGTGTTGGATGTATTCAGCTGAAGAAAATCTCATGATAACAACTGAGCTGCTACACAATGGAACATTAGTCCATTATTAAAATAACCCTCGCATTAGCAGCATCTTCATGGTTCCTGGGCTTTGCCATATATACTAAGGAGCTGTTAGCTACACTGTTCTTGTGGTAAGCCATTTGTTACTGAAAAAGTTCCTTGGATTCAGACACTGATACAGTAACTTGAAGGACAAATGTTTGGCTGGTCTGAAGTGAATCAGAAGCACAACACAGTGTTGCAGACCGTGATGTGCTGGAAAATGGTGGAATAAAAACAACACCCCCCCACCACCACCACTGTGCCTTTGATTTTGCTCCCAGTGAAATCTGACTGCAATAAGTTTTGGGCTGAAGCGATCCATGTGGGAATGTCGTAACAGCCCACATGCTATTGTCTGTGAGGTGCCATTCACAAAAGCAAAACAACTGTTGCCATGGGATATGTTCAACAAAATAATGGATGTAGGGTGTTCTTTTTTTGGCTAAACCTTTCTGTATGAGCTAATGGACTCACAATGCACAGACCCTGCCTGTTGCTACTGTCTCTACCAGGAGGGCTTGGATGCTAGAGAAAGCACATGGGGTGCAATGTGGTGTTGAGCTTTGTTTTATAATGAACAATGAAATCTTTTTTTGTCACTCTTCATTTATTTAAACGTATTCAGTTGGTAGTTTGCAAAGCTATTCAACCTTAATTTTACAAATTTGCAGTAATTGCCTTAAATGAGTAGCATGGCTGCTGAGCTCAGTGGGAACTTTCTGATGAATGGTGAGTGTCCAGAAAGCAGACAGGTAATATGCCCACACTTTAT